CCTGGAAGGCCAGCACGCGTGGAAGTTGTGAAGGGTTCTCTCTCAGTTATTTCGGCTCTCAGAGCACAGACCACGTCTAGCACTTTTTTCTTGCAGTCTCAGCACCTGCAGACCGCAGATGGCTTCCCATGCATAGTCAGTCATTACAAACCTATTAGAACATTTTGTGACCTCACCAGATTTTTACCATGTCTGCCTTTTCCCCTTTTTCAAGACAGATGTGCTATTTTGTATTGACAGATCAGCTTTAAAAATCTATCAAAAGGAAATTACGTAAGTAAAGGTTGTCATCATGATTCGCTCTTCCTAAACGACCAAGGGCTCTGTTGCTGGTCTTTTTCTGTTGGGTGTGGCGCTGTCTTGGCTATAGTACGCATTTCCCCTGCATTTATATGTATGTGCGTATTTCAGGATGGAGGCCTAGAAGGACAATGTTGTTTGCAAGCTGGGATGCAGAAGAATTTGGTCTTCTTGGTTCCACTGAGTGGGCAGAGGTTAGTTGATAATTTGCTCCAAGATACATTTTCATGATAACAAAGCAGTTAGGATTTAATTCCCAAGGATGTAAGAATAACAAGTCAATCCGGCGAGAAAATATTCCAACTTTTCCCCAGAAAGTCTATAGGAACATATTCTCGTTCAAAACTCAGTAATAAAAGTTTTTGTCCCTTGAGAACTAAATTTTGTTTGAACTTTTAAAACCACTCAATGTCAATTGTCAATATATTTTAATCTTCGTTTTCTGGAAGTCACTCAGTTCACTAGAAACTGAACATCATGTAAGATGTCATGTTTCTGTTTTTTGCAAATTAGCTCCTAAAACTGATCACATTTAAATACCCCTTGAGTTTGTACTGTATTCCTCATACCATAATGACCTACTGTAAATTAAATCATGCTAAAAGTAAGGAGGAAAGCCCCACCACAGAATATTTACCAGGCCCTTTGGAAAGTAATTTTACCTGCATGCATTGTTGGTTTTGTGAAATAGAAGCATGACCTGTAAAGTGCAAAATTAACATTTATTCAGTTAACTTTCAGTCATGCTGTAAATGTTTACTTGGCTTCTGTCATCCTCCAGGAATTATGAGAAGCCCTATAAACTTCAACTTTCTTTGAAGGGGTCAGGGGGATGTAGTGCTCCTGTAGACAAAGATTTATGCTGGCGTCAAGAAGAGCATAAATATTTTGAGAGCTTGGTTTGTCCTTTTAATATTATTTTCGTCACATAGAACTGCATGTTTTCCACTTTATTTCTTATAGTCAGGACGCTTAGAAAATTGCATGCTTTAGAGATTCAGAATCCACGTTTATCAAAACAAAACCCTACTTACTTACACTTTTGTCAGTTTTTTAAACTGCAGTGGTCAATTCCGACCAGTAGGTGGTGCCATAATATAGGAGACCTTATTGAAGGAGTCATTGTGATTAAATCAGTTCCTTCTCCACTTAACATTAAGAATGTAGACAGTCTCATCTTCATCATTTTAGCCTTAAAAATGTTTTGCTCATTATTTCTTACAAACTGACATTTTTTTCAAACAGACTCTAAAAATCTTATGTGTCAAATTTGTGGTGAACTTGAGCCAACATAATTCAGAAATCTCTATACAGTAAATGTAGGTATGCGTTTTTTTAGAGGGGGTTATGGCTATATGTTTGTTTGTTTGTTTTTATTGCAGGAGAATTCCAGACTCCTTCAAGAGCGTGGTGTGGCCTATATTAATGCTGATTCTTCTATAGAAGGTGAATATCCTTGGTCTCATAGGAAAAGATGAGCAGTTTCTTTCATAAATTGTTCCCTAACAAGAAATGCAGGTCCATTAACATGTGGTGAGGGAAGCTGCTGTCGGTTTGTTGTGCTTACAGCAGTGGTGAGCCCTGGGCTGCTAATTTAGGAAAAATTCTTTGATTTGTTTCATCTGGCAGATAACCTTGTCCATGGTAGGAATTCAGTGAATACCTATTAAATGGATAAGTCAGTTATGGTACTGAAGATTTCTATGATTTTAAAACAGGGTAGCAAAAAGGTATGATTTAAATTTAACCCGTGTCGTCATAATATCATGCGTACAAAGTTTGAAAAA